CTTTTAAATACTAATAATGATTATAATAATGGCCCGGGCATAGAAGTTGGCAAGCAGTAAACAGAAACAGACTTAAAAACAAGTATAACAACCATTAAAGCTACTGTCGAAAACAGCCAAAAACACGACGACAACAATAGATTTCACAAGTATTATGTTTGTATTTCCTTGACCGTTTTTCAACCCACCTCCTTCGTATATACAGGGGTGTACTACTTTATTTAAAGCCGTTTACATCAATAATAAGGTATGCTACATCTTATTTCTTTGCTCTCAGGAAAAACAAAATTATGTAATATCATCATCAATAGTGATCTGTCAGTATGACAGGTTCAGTGACCCAAACAGAATTCTACATCAAGTGTCTCTCCAAGTAACTAAGTCTTGAGCTATCCGTTTTAGCATATAATATCCTGGTGCTCCACATTCTGCGATTACAAATATAACACCATTATATAAGATACCAACAAATATGTCGATTTTTATCATAGATTCTTATAAATAGTATTTGTCAATATTATTAAGTGCAAAGTGTTTCACTATCCTTCGGGGCTTTGGGTTTGATCATCCATAATGATGCTCACCTCTACGCGGTTACTTCATCTGCCTTGTTTGCTGTTGACTTCATGCTTTGGTGAAATGAAATTCAGATCATTGTCGTCCCGTTAATATAAAAGGCGACCCGATGTATGCAGGTGCATTGCATGTCATGATACTTCATGTGTCTACTCATGTGCCTACTCTAATTGAGATGCAAGTTATCCGCCGCATGTTTATAATTGTCATAGAACAGCTATTATCATCGTAATAACCACAGTATATATTACGACTAAAATTACTCTTTTATTGGACTTCGTGGCTCGATATATTTTCGCCACATTGTTTTTAAAAAAACTGTCATAGTGATGGGAAGATTGAAAGGTAATCAAATCGATTATTCCACCTAATTATTTAACAAAATTTGTCGATAAAATAGCCACCATGAATTCCAATGAAGGACACGAGGAGTCTATTCGAACAGGTGATCGAAGCATGGGGGGGGGGGGGCTATCAGAACCCTCCCTGTCCTAATAAACCAACTGGTCAGTCGACTGAAACAGGAACAATAGAACTTGACAATGTGCCATTGAAACACGTATAAAAGAAGCGTTGTTATCTAAACCAGTCATGGCGGCATAAGTAACCGCCCTAAAAGAAGCAGTATTAGGGACTTTTAAATTTGTACGCAGAAATAGTGGACTGCTATACGTGTGACGTCATACGTGTGACGTCATATTAGTATCTATATCCAAAAAAGGGCACGGGTTTGGCCGGACACGATAGAGCTACGGCCACAGAAAGAAAGCAAATTCCCTGAATTTTAAAGGGCGCTTCTTCTTTTTTTGCATAGCCATTTGAGCATGAAATATGGCATGGTTATGTACAATTATAAGATAAGGATACTGTGAGAAATTGAGAGGAAACGGAATTGGTATGAGAAAGTTGTGACAATTTTAGATTTGTAGGCGTCCATTTTTCAAGAATTTTAGAGATTTTTGATGGAGTACACTCAAAAAAAAAGTGCTAAATTTAGCACTTAAAGATTCAATTTTAGCACTTTTTAGGAGCTCGCATAGTGACTGCACTCGAAGTGCTGAGTTAGCACTTGCACCCGGGCTACTTTGCTAGCACCCAAAGGAGCTGACTGTTGTGCTAAATTTAGCACTTAAAGATTCAATTTTAGCACTTTTTAGGAGCTCGCATAGTGACTGCACTCGAAGTGCTGAGTTAGCACTTGCACCCGGGCTACTTTGCTAGCACCCAAAGGAGCTGACTGCTGTGCACTTAAAGTGCCAAGTTTTGCTCTCTTTTGGGTGCTAACAGAATAGCCCTTGTGCAAGTGCTAACTCATGCGTTGTTTGACATGCCCTATCTACATTTGGTATGTGGTCAAGGTGGATGTCCTTCGTCATTTACCACTTTCAACTCTTACAGGAAACATTTATTAAACCAACATCCACAAGAAGAACCTGAACCTGAAGTTGTACAGGGTATGGAGGGTCTAGTTGATGCTGATTTGGGTGTTGCTGTTGGTGAAGTGCATAATCCTGCAGCAGATGATGCATTTGATGATGATGATGATAGGATAGGCCTACTACAAGAACAAGATGGAGCAATGCATAAGGACAGTACAAGACACTATGAATATGACAGACAATGAAAGCGGACAAAATATACAGTTCCTTAGGTAGACAAAGGAACATCCCTTCACTGCTATTATGTAAAAATGTGTAGAACAGGTGTCACATGCATATTCACCTGTTCTACACATTTTACATAATAGCAGTCAAGGGATGTTCCTTTGTCTACCTGAGGAACTGTATATTTTGTCCGCTTTCATTGTCTGTCATGTTCATAGTGAGACCAGCTGCATTTTTCATTGGTTCTCTTTTATCAAACACCAACATGACCCATGCTATGACAAACAGAGTGTTATCTGCTGCAACAGCTTTGAATACTGATGTTGTTGACAGTTTAAGGAGCAAAGTTATTCAGACTTTTGAGGCCTTGGGTATTGACCTGGAGAATGAAGAATGTAAGAATCTCTTAGCTGAATTTGATTCAAAAACAAATATTCAAAAGGTAACAGCTATTATACTAACCGACCAATCAGATCAGGTTATGCAGTCAGCACTCGATGTTAAGTGCTGCATATTGTTATAGCACTCGTTTTCTGCACTCAAATATTCAGCACGTTTCGGTTTCCTTGTTAAAGTTAACCCGTCAAGTGCTGATTTTGGCACTTCAAGTGCAGAATCTCACTCAGCACCCAACATTTAGCACCTCAGTTTTTTGCGTGTAGGTTCCGGATTTGAAAATCGAGTATGAAGTTGGCATTTTAAAGTTGAGGTTATACATCGCAGATGAAAAAAAATCTCTCGGACGATCTAGAGGAATATGTTAAAAGTCTGTAGGATCTAGGCTAGTGAAGATAGGAAGGAAGAAAGAAAGGCCTTAAAACGGACAAGAAACGAACAACTGGACGTCTGGATTGTTACGCATGAGTGATTTTGGGGGGAAATAATGAAGTGACATAGATTGCATATCAGGAATTATGCCTACGAAGTTTGAAAGGAATCTGGCTTGTGGAAAGGAAATAACTAGAGAATAACAAGCACTACGTGCAAAACGAATGAGATTTCCGGACGAGAACAAGAACCAGAAGAAGAATATTAATATAGAAGAATGTAAACGAAAACAATGCAATGACAAAAAATTTCATTGCGATTATATCTGGCTTTAGAATATATTCGTATATCACGGTATTTGTTACGGTTCTGCTACACAACATGATGCGTTTATAATATGTTGGTACTGTAAGGTGTCATTGCTAATAGATTTCCAGATGCTGTTTCTTTGCAAGTAAGCTATATGTTGCCTTTATGGAATAACATTATTGCGTCACGAATTAAACAAACCACTTATTTCCTCCTTTTTAATGCAGGTGTGAATTGTGATATACCAGATGGTTTTGTGTATACCGACTTACAAAAAAATGCGGAGAAAGGAGATGAGCTTGCTCTAAAATGCGAATTCTATGGAGCGCCATCTTCCGTTAACTGGACGATAGGAGGTGAGTCCACGAGGCCATCCAACCTGATCAAATGGGTGGAAGGGGGATCCACTTCCGGGACATGCGTTCTTGACGGGGTCTGCTATATAAACGATGACTTCTCTCTCATCATCAGAAACATTACAGTTTCAGATCAAGGAACATATACATGCATAGTAACAAACTACGAAGGGATCCTGATCCACAATTTCACAGAAGTAAACGTCTTTGGTAAGCATATCATTCTGTGTACATTTTGAAGTATGACTGAGAAATAACCCTAAAGAAGGTTATTCCATAATTATATCCATGATTTATAGTAACACTACCCCTACATGCTATCATAATAGTTGTTGAATGTAAAAAGATGGAAGAAAAAATTCATTATTTATATACTACATTATTTACCTTTTTATTAATAGTTATTGTTATATATTCAAGCTGAAAATTTAAATTGAAAGAAATAGCTTTGTGTGTTACATGACAGTTCTCCTACATGAAGACATGATGATTTTCCTTGATAGAGTCATAGTGTACTATTTCATTTTCAGCTCCTCCGATGGAACCCTTTCCCCTTATCGATGAATGTCGAGGAATACTTCCAAACGATGCCGAACAAACCTGTAGTCTTTCAACCTCTGATAACATCACCATCACCTGCTCAGCCTCAAGCTACTTTCCAGACATCGATCTTTTCTTCTCACACGGATCCAACAAGATGGATGCAACTAATGTCAAGGAAGATTTTAACATGGACGGGACGAAAAGCAAGTCAATCTCCATCGTCGCTGAACCGAGTGAAAGTCCCTATGTTTGTGTCGCTTCTGATATCCCGGGATCGCAAGACCAAAAAACAGTGACTCTGACCGTGACCTTTATAGGATCTACCACTTTATCTTTGAGTGGAGTTGGTAAGAATTCAAGACGAAATGTCTTTGTTGTCTTTTTATTCGACCAGTATTCGACAGTTGATAAACAATGTAAAACTGTTGTCACCTGTGGTATCAGTAAACAGTATCCGCACAAATGTTGGATATTATACATTGAACTTAATTTCACTCATTTCAGATGACGTTTGACTGAATGTAAGCGGGTTTCACCGCATAAGAAAACATTAAACGTGGTTTTAACTGCTCATCATGCACTCTGAAAACTGTAGTGTGAAATCACAATTTTAGAGGGCTGAGGATTGACCACTTTTTAAAAAAAAATGTCAGATCAACACTTTTACCATGTTATGTCTACGTGTAGAATCAACATTTATGCTGTAGGATCCAGAATGTTAAGAGTGTTAATCTAATTTGATCGAAATGGTGATTTAACATTTAAGTATTTCGAGTCTAACAGAAAAGTGATCGACGACAAGTTTGATTCGTTGACGATATTCTTTAATCCATTTGCAGTTGTACCAGTAGTTATCGTTATCATTCTTATACTGGCTGCGATTTGTTGTGCAGTATTATGGCGTAGGAGGAGCCAACGGAGGAGTCAAGGTATGTTTATATATACATATATATGGCTCGTCATCCCTGGATTGAGTTATGAACACTTATCATAGTCAGTATTGGAAAGAAAAGAAAATATCTCGTAGTGCAAAACGAATGGACAAGGTTTTATTTGTATAGAGTTATATTTCCGATTTTTCTATGACTACGATGTTATTTATTATGGCGATGATGTTTGAATGGATGCAGTTATATCTTAATATGATACCTTGTTTTTGGCAAACCTTTGATCTGTACGTAATAGAATCTGAAACAAAACAACTTTGAAAGAAAGTATCACGCTAAAATGTTATGGGGTACTATCAATAGTTTCAGATTTCTTTATCAAAAGCCAAACACATCAATGAAGTAAATAGGGTGTGTGCTGCCAACATATTTTAGAGTCGGAAGAAACATCGGAGGATTCAAGGTATTTTTATATTGATGGCTCGTCATCACTAGGTTGAGTTATGAACACTCGTCATCATCATCAGTCCTTCAACGAAAAGAAAATACCTCACAGAAGAAAACGAATGAAAAATATTTATTTGTTATGGAGTCATATTTTTTTATTTTTCTCTGACTACAGTGTAATTTGATGTGGCAAAGACGCTCAAATACATAAAGAAATATACTATTCTGTTACGATGTATTTGGTGAGCCTTTGATCATCACGAAATAGAATCTGATTCGAAACTTTGAAAGAAAATATAATTTTCAAATGTTTTGGGGTAATATGATTAGATTAAAGCCTAATTTGCTAATCAAAAGACCAACAAATAAATGACATACGTAAAGGTCTACGAGCACCGAAATAATAATGCTATAAAAATGAATACACCAAAGAGAATTGTCTTGAAACTCTATGGCAAATAAAAATGACAAAGAATGTTTCATTTATATAACGCATCATATCATACTTTCAATACCCTTTACATGGACTAAGATCAAATATACTTTTCACCGCGAATTTCTAAGGCTATTTTCCTTTAAAACTTTTCTTAACGTACAGGAGAAGGCGACCCGGAATCCATGCAACTACAAGTAAAAGGTAAATCCTTATATTTATCTATCATGAACAAAATTAAAAATGTAATTTCTTATGTTTGCAGATACACACACAACCGAACACATGCACCAAAAACACGCGCACAAACACACACACACCCTTTATTAATCAATTATGCAATGAACTGATATTCAAACGACGAGAGAGGAAGGTCATAAAGCAGGTACGTGCGTAATGCCTGATAAACATTTATATTGCCTTTCAAATCATTAAAAAAAACATAAGCTATCAAAATGATTTTAGACATATTGTCAATATACAATCGAAAGAGTTTTTAATTCATCACTTGCTTTTAAAATGGACTTGGTTGCAAAATTTCTCAATTCAAAAGAAATTTGACTATTTATCAGTCCCAAATTATATTCGACCACACAACTCTCGATGTCTTCATAATGACGTGACCCGAATTGGCGGTTGCATAGAATTTGCAGTGATTTCGTAAGTTAACATATTAATAGGCGTCAAAAAGTATGATGATGATTTCTTGTCCATCCAAGATATCCGTCTCTTCTAGGATCTATTGCCGTTTACTCCACATAGTTTCACACATCCAAATTTCTTACTCAGTGTGTAAAATTGAGATTTAACGCATTTGCCATTATAGCCGTTCTTCAAAGTATTTATATACAAGTATACTCCTGTATGTATTCAAATTCACAGTTAAGCCTGACAGCAACGGTTTCTACAAACAGACGATGAAGCAAGCTTACCCTTCTCAGGAGCAGCTGGACCCAGAAAAGGTTTCTAAAAATATTGCCTGACAATGTATGAAACTAAACCGAATAGATATAATTCATTCCCATTAACGAGAACTGAATAACCTCATATTTGATACAAGGACATTGAATTGATAACAAGTTCAACAAACCATATTTCTAAAGATTGAGGTGTCATTTCCCCAAACCTCAAATCGACATGAAACAAGGAGGGGCATGACGCCCTGGTTCCCGGGCTTCGTCTATGACTCTTCAAATTACTTGTTTTTGTTAAAGTGAAACATTAAACTCAAATTTCCGTTACAAAAATCTGAAATGAATGTAGTCGTGAAATAAAATATTTATATCATAATGGCCAATAAGGTTAGTTCATTGATTTACAGAATTGTGGCAGTGCTTAAGGGATTGTGTGCTTCACATTATATACTCCATTGATCATGAGTTAAACATCCCAGCAAGCTTAGTCGAGGTTTAAACCTGCGTTATAGACTGTGTACTACGATCAGCACAGGACTTGTTAAGATAACGATAAATTCTGTCATCAATTATGTGAACACTATTTGCTGAAAATTGATCAATGTTAAAGGAAATTAGTTAAACATAACTTTTTATATATTACAGTGGTATATAAATTCAAAAATATTTTCTCGATTTCAGAATTACAAAATGGACGATAAAGAAAAGGGTCTCATGTTCCTTTTTAACATGACTAAAGACAGGAAGGGATCAGATGTCGACGTTCGAAATATTCAACACGTGTTCACGGAAATAGGATATGAGATCGAAACCCATTCGGATTTGACAGCTGAGGTAAGAGCATGTTTTTTATTAATCTAATGGCCTTTTATTGTTAATAATATAACTTAGCAACGTGAAACAGAAACAACTTAAAATCTTATTTAGCCTCAAATTTGTTTTGTCATAAAATTGGATTTTCTATCCGAACCATAGTTCTCCATCCCCATATGCAAACAATAATGCGATTGGAATTGAAAATGTGTCAAGCAGTTGATCACTTTTCCCCCCAAAGTTGGAATACTAACCTCTCGTCATTAAATGATTGTGACAATTAGATGTATTACTGATATATAGAGATTTTGTCATTTCACAACTTAATCGATCAATAAAAATTGCTCAATAAAGATTCATGAATAAACCTCTGTGAGGATATAATATAATCGTATTCATCACGAATAAATCAAATTATCATGCCTCTTTTACATCAAATTTCATGTTGTTCCTTCCTTCTTGTTGTTGAGATAATCTACTCCCCGGAAAGCAAGGTATAGAATGCAAAATGATATTCTACTTCACATGTTAAGAAGTCGGATCAAGAACACAAATAAATACGAAGAAATCGAAAGAATTGTGAAATTTGATGTACAAAAGGCATGGAGAGTTGTCCACAAATGATGTCATCAAATTAAATATCGCCCTCTAGTAACTAGTTATGTCAAAAAGCTTTAACTTCCTTATTCCTTGCCCGATTTTGTTCAAATTTTCACGGATTGTATTCAAATATCTTAAACTTTACAATAAAAGTAACTAAGTATGAAGGGTTTTGGCTCCCTTAAAATTAAATCTAAACTTCAAATTAAATCTAAACTTCAATGACTTTTAAACGCTTTGTTTTCGTAAATGGTTATGCAGGACCTTCAAGACAAGCTAGAGACGTTCGCGGGTTATGTTCGCCATCACTACATGCCCTCTGCAGTGTTCGTGATCATGGGAAACGGCTCCTCGACAGGCATTCATTGCACTGATGAACCGGTTACTTTTAAGTTTATCGAGAATAAGGTTTCTAGGATGAAGTACATGAAAGGAAAACCGAAGATGATTTTCTTCCAGGGTAACCGTGAAAGTAAGTGTCTACACTGTGAATAGGTTGGGCAATATATTTACCACACTTTGCCCAACGTTGTGCCAAGTGTCAATTCAACCATCTATTGGGCAATATTTTGCCTAGTGGTATTGGTAAACGTAAGTACCCTACTTCACACGTTTATAATTGTTTCGTACTTTGTCCAAAATGTGGGCAAAGATATGACCCTTCAACTGCACGACTAAGGTAGCCCACTGGTTGGGAAAATATTGACCTCCTGTCGGGCAAAAAACGAAACAATTATGTATGTACTTAAGTTTACCAATACCAGTGGCCAGAATATTACCCAATAGATGGTTGGGTTGGCTATTGGCACAACGTTGGGCAGAGTGTTGGAAAATATTGCCCAAACTTTTCACAGTGTATGTCTTTAACTTTATATAAATGTCCCAAGCTCCCCTTACCCCCTTCCCTCTCTCAGAAGGTGCCAATATTTATCGAATAATGCGATCATGGTATTTGTTCATCACTGTGTTTCTATTACACTAACAAGGTGCTTCATTCCCGGGTCTTTCAATTCTCTCTTCTTCAGCAATTTTCCGAACTTTCTAACCAAACCACTCATCTTGTTCTCCTTTGCTTCCTCGAGCCCTCTTTCCCTCGATTTTCCTGTCAGTACAAGGGCTTCCAAGTTTCCTTCCTGTATCAAGCGTCCCATAAATCTGATCTTCCGAATCCGTACGTCACATATTCGTTTTGTTCAAAAAGCTCACTCACTTGTTTTCATTTTCTTTGGGCTTATACAGATTGTCGCTAATATTCAGGGATCCATTTTTAATTGACCACAATAACGACATGTGTGTACCTGAAGATGCAAGGTGTTCAGTTCGATTCCTGACAGCATTTTAGGAATTCTTTCCTACCGTTCTTCATATGTTTAATGGGATTAAAATTTGGAAATGAATACGTTCTTCTTGAAAACACAAATATGGTGCATGGCCAAGGTGTTCTTGAGCTACGTGGGTCCATTAGCTCTGCAGCCTGCATATACACTCAATGAAAAACAGCCGCTGCCTTTTTCTTTTACATTTTCTTTTTCTATTAAACGGGAAAAACGAATGGCAACTGCGCGCAACAGAGAAGCTATGAAATACATAAATTAAAGCTTGTGACAATTTACGTCATCATAACAACAACAAAAAGGCTGTGATTTTCCCACGTCTAATCTAAACAAGCCTTTAGCGTTTGAAAAGAAAGTGTGTAGCTTATGGTCCCGCCATCATACTTGAATCACCATTCAAATAAATGTACACATCCGTGGTTTTTCCACCATAATATTTTTCCTTACCATGTCATTATACCTATGCAGAAGCAAAGGAAGAAACTGAAGCTGACATCGACATGGAAATATCAGACGCATCCGACCTTCTCGTTGTCCATTCTACAACATCGGGTAAGACGTTTGATAATAATATAGATTGTAATATTTATAATGATAATGATATTATTGTTTTATTATTACATATGCATGTTCATTAGAAGTTTTGAATGGTAATTTGTAGACAGACAATGGTGCGCTTAGAACAACCGTATTTAGCGCCTAATAAATGGTGAGTGTTATTATCATTACTATCAATAATAATTATAATACTAATAATAATAGTAATATTTGAAGTCAGGGTTTGAATACCATGCAACGACGATTTATTTTAGCGGTTCATATATCTTGTATTTATTACACAAGTCTTTGGATTCAGGCTTTTCCGCAAACAATATATGTACATTCTCCACGCCCTGGAACTTGGAGAGCATTCCATCCAGGTGCAATGATACCGGCGCTATATAAATATCCATATTATTATTATTATTATTATAGACGCTCACTGTACTTAGATAACTTCAAACATTTTACCAGGAATTCTCTTACATCTTCCTGATTGTACCATCCTACTGTGTTCCCATTCAGACCTGGGTGGGGGTGGAGATTTAATTAATGTCTTGCCAAAGGACGTTAGCAACGGGATGGGATTTGAATCCTCAACCCTTGGGTTGAGAGTGAAGTGAACGAACCACTACCCCTCGACTCCTCCTTAATTTAAGTTACATTTTAAATGAAGAGTCATCTACCACTATTGTAGAATCCTTTCTAATACATAGCGGGAAGTTATTTCTCTTGATTCCAGTTCATTATAAGGCTTGTTTGATTTTTACTCCATTTTGTCTTTAGTTTCATTACACAAAAAGTTTCTTCAATAAAACAAAAAAGATAAAGGATGTATTTCGATCAGCCACGTGATTCCTAAGTTTAGGGCTTCTGTAAATGCGCCTTATCTGAACATGCAGGATATTATCATAAACAGCTAACGTTTCCTAACGATTTTCGCAGGAAACGTTCCAGATAGAAGCGTAATCCGTGGTTCAAGGTTCATTCAGATGCTATGTAAGGAACTCCTTAAGAATGCCCATGTCAGTGACTTGTCTACCATGTTAGAGCAGGTAAGTTTTTTCAAGCAGTAGAGTATATAAATTATGGACTATTAAGTTAAAAAAAAAAACACTCACGCACACACGACCACACGCACACTCGACAACACGCCCACATGCATGCAACCGCCAATGCGAACAACGTCAACACTTTAACATCTTAACTCTTTGGATAAGTGAGGAACAATGTTTACTTTCTGTTACACACCAACTAGTATTTGCCCAGCCCTGCTGACAGAGGGCGTATACATGTGTCATCATGTGTTATAGCGATATAGCGAAAGGGGACATGACATGTCATTTAATGCAAATTTCTTTTTTAGTTTTTCTCAATCTTTCCAATAACATTATTAATCCTCTGGCTGGTCCAGTATTAGTGACAATCCGCTATTTCAGTTCTGGACGAAAATCAACTTTGGATTTGTCTGAATTATGTTACTATTAAAATCAATTAATGTATATATTATTATGATAAGTTTAATGATAAATTTAATATTAGACCTATCTGCACTTATCCTCTCCTTTCATAATGCACCAACTCTATTTTCTTTCTACAGGTAACACGAAAAGTCGGGAAGAAAACCTTCAACCATAAATATGATAAAACTCCAGAAGTTATTAAACAAGGGATCTCGAAGAAGATATATTTTCTTCCTAAATACCCTCCAGAAGAGAATGAATAGTCCAGCAGAATGGTGCTGAATATGGTAGGAATTGTGCACTTTAAAAAATGTTATGTTGATTAATAGCATGACATTTGGTATGGAGATAACGACGTTAATGCTGAATAAAACTTGCCATTGTTTTGTTTGTGCCCATTCTTTTTTTAAATACGGTGCCGCATTATACGTTTCTCGGTAACCAATTATATGAAATAATATCATCGATCTACCTTGTTTAAAATGCACGCAAGTTCTTTAGGTGCCCATTATAATGATATCAATATTGTGTGAATATGAAAATTAATGAAATCACTGAATCGCTGGCAACGAGTTAGAAGTTTTTAATTATTGTAAGTCAAAATTGAAGTATTTTAAATGAATTAAAGATTTGAAAATGGAGATCTAAATAACTCCCCACACCCCGGAAAAAATTAAATTTAAATAAGAGAAATGTCCAAAATATATGTATGTGCAAAAAGGATTTATTTACCTTTTATTTAATTCAATTATTGGTAGGGCACAGTTTGAAGTGTTAAACGGGCTTTTGCATAGCACAATTTATGCGTTTTGGCATTGAAAAATCTAATGTGGTAGGGAAGAGTTTATATGCTGAAGGCTGCATTATTTCTTATTCTTTATTAATTGCTTTTGATATTGTTATGCACTTTATTGGATTCTTAAAATCTTACGATGTTAAGGCTATACCTTCGAGTCATTGTCTTTTCTTTAAACAAAGCCATGGGCGTAAACAAGATGAAAATGTGGTGTTAAAACATTTGATTATTGTATGCTTTGGAATGAAAGCAAGAAAAAAGGAAGATTTGTATATGCTTTATCATTATATTCATGTATTTCGTTCATGTTAAGTTCTACAATGATAAATGAAAGTTGTTAACATATTATACACTGACCTGTTTTGTATTCTAAAACGTTTGGCATACCAAATTATATCTTTATACTACGGTATAAGCATAAATAATCTCTGAAAACGTGTAAATGCAAATAGTCACATCTTAAATAAAACCGACGGCCATTTTTAATTTGACAGCCGTCTTCAAAAATAATGTACCATTCTGTAATTTCATATAAAACTTACCTATCTTCCAAACAATTATGTATATTTAAGCCGACGTGAACCTGACTTTGTTGATAATCTTAATGAGTAACAAATGGAATTAATGAGAATTGACATTGTGTGGATTAATATATCAAAACTAAACTCAAAAGTAAACTTGAATTGATCAACAAGGAATGCTTAATACCCGGTGTTGGCCTTCAATTTATGGGCACGACGGATTGCATTGAATCAATAATTCAGCGACAAAACTTTATACGCATGCCAGATGTAATGCTTTAATTAAATAAGTGCATAGTAATACTACTTAATCATTTCGCCTGACTCGACTCTGCACACAGAGTTGAACATCAAAGGTTGCTGCACTAACATTTGTTGTTATTTTATCAATAATCTGTTAAATATAACCATGACACTTTAATACTGTAAAGCTTTGTACAGATAGAGTAGCAAAAAGTAATTAAAAATGGAACACGTTATTTGTGTTTTTACAGTGTAATTTGGTTCTCCTTTTGTCAAACGATGCACATGAGAGACAGTCCATCTATGATCTCCTGTGGATTCAATTGTAAATAGCTTTAAGGAATGCTAAAACACGAATATAGCCATACATGTATATGCACTGCCTTTATAAGCTAAGGCCATTCCACACCGACCATTCATTTTTGTTTGATTTTTTTTAATGAGAAAGAGACAAAAATTTATAAAAAGATAGCAACTACTTTCGAAAATTCAACTAAAGATAATTTCAGTATCCTTATGAGGCACCTATTTAAATGCGCGAAAAACACAATGACGTATTAAAGAATCTGGTTATGTTTTCCATGGGATGTACAGTAGGGTATTGACATTGCAACTAAGTTGATTATTTTTTAAATAGTTGCAACCTTATTTACAGCTGCTTAGTTTTGATAACTTCTTATTACTCGTTCTTAAAATGTATTATCAGTTATGAATAAAGTTGTATTTTTATTGTTATTTAAGAGTCCACATTCAACTGCTATATTAGATTATATGTATTAGTTTTGCACATTATCCAGTAGTTTATTATCCTGTCCTATTTTGTTTTGTAATTATGTATATAACAATTTTGGTATACCTAATAATGTCTTTCTTAAAGGTAATACAAAGTTTTGGGAAATTTTGAAAAATGGGTGGATAGTAATTCTTTACAATTTTGAGATATTTAGATGCCCCTGTGGATGTATTGAAAGCACTAGAAAATTTGGCCCTTAAAATACTTCTGTTTTCGAGAAAAAATGAATATAAATATTTACCGGTGCTCCCGGTAAATTTTGATAAATTTCAAATAGCGCCTACATCCTTACAATGGTAGCTGCGACCATGAAAATATCAGAAAATGTAGTTGTGATATATAATGTCCGAACGGGAATAGCTAAACGATCGATTTTAGTCGAGAAACATTGTTTTATAGCTCAATGAATATCTTGACCTTGAGAGGGAGCTATACAATATAAAGTCTTTATTGTGTACAATTCCATAACTTTAGATTCGATTTCGACCGCGACAACGATCACTAAATATTTTAGGATTGCATATGCTTCCAATATATCCATTTGAACCAAATTCATGACCCCATACCAAAACTTTGTATTACCTTTTATCTGATACATACCGAAATATGCTAATAGTTACTTTTCATCCGATTTGAAAAAAATAATAATTACCGTCTATATTATAATGTTATATTAAGATATTATAAATATGCAGCAACGTTACCTTGAACGAAAAGGCAAAGCAAAAAAAAAAAAAAAACATTCATTTAAAGTTACAAGGAAACCAAATACTTTGCAAATATGTTTATACATGTTCGTACTTATTCTTTGATGCTGTTTGATATGATATTATGTTCATGACTTAGTTATTATTATTATTATTATTTGTTTCTTTTTTCTTTTTTCTTTTGTTAACTATTGCTTCTTATTTTTTTTAACTAGGCCTCATGAAAGACGACCATTATTGGTGATAATGAGCCACCTTATCAAAATATAAGAAATAAATTAATTAATTAATTCTTTAAAGGCATCGTTTAACAATGTTAAATCTGAGATGCATTGTCCTACGCCATACCTATGTATGTAATAAGGTGTAATATAGAGGCCCTAACAAAACCGCGTTTCAAAATGATTAAGAAGTGCCTCAAAAAAGTAAAAAATCGTTTTGCCCAGTAGACTGTAGTGTTATGAAAACCGTTTGGCAAACGCAAAATTTGGTTTCGATTTCCAATCATAAATATCTTGATAATCGGACAGGCGATCGGCTTTTAAAAGTCATTGAGTTACGGACTGACCTAAAGGTTTATGATTATCATTGCAACATGAGCTTAATCCAGGATTTTGTTTCAGAATCTGAGACGAAGTTACCTGATCCCTTTATCTTCTATAGGGGAGCGACGCAATATAACGAACTACCAGAATACATCCGAAATGTAACTACATTAAGATCCTTCCATACCCTAATAACTGACAATTTTTTTAACACACTTCCTAAAATTCAAATGATTTTTGCATAACCTTGTGTGTGTGTGTGTGTGTGGGTGTGTACGCGTATGACATTTTTTTTGAATTTTGTGTTACTTTGGTATTTTAAAACAACTTGTATTTATGTTTTGTTTCTGTTCTGCTTTATGTCGCTTTTATGTTCATATTGTAGTGTAAGGGCCCCAAGGAAGAACAGTAGTGTTCTATAAACACTGCTGAATTGGGCTTTCCACCGACTTTTGTCTATGTACATGTATACATATCTGAATTCGGAAATAAAAACAACAACAACAACAATTCAGAGAAATCTGACCAAAACAAATTGGAGGCAAAACAAAGCTATATATTTCACATAACGGAAGTTATATCGGGGTCTGCTACTTTACAAGTTGACAATCGTATAACTTTGATAGTATCTTACATAATTATGAATATGGCTTTTCTAGTTTAAGCATACATGAACGTAATACGGAATTCCATAAAATTTTGTAATCGCCACTTTTACATTCAAGTTTATAGTTGTTTGGAAAGCTTACAGTCTGCAGGAATATACTTTAATTTGACACTTTACTACCATTCATTAAGCCTTGAGCAGAGCCTAGCTCTGTCAGTCCCTGGTTGTGTCATGGGGGCTCTTATCATGGGCCTACTGGTCCATGCTCTAATATTTGTATCCTAGGATTGTACGTTTCGCGATAAGGCTTTGTTTGTAGTCGCGTTACTCGTATATCGAATAGATTATTACATTTTGTCAATCCGTGCCTATTGTTTTGCTTATGATTGCAAAGAAACGACCGAACTGTTAATAAAGGAAGTCACCAAAAAAAAACATCAGTATTTACTGTTCTATCATATTCCGATTGCTAGTATACGCTTGTGCAAGAGACTTCTGTGAAACGCATCTAACGCTTATGCCCATCCCTATTCCATGCCGATATTTATACTGTGTTAAGACTTAGAGTATTAGTTTTTGTTATTGTTTGTTCTAATAGAAATCGGTTTTACATTTTGATAATCTTAGAGGATTCATAATGAAATCGCTTGATGTTGGTTGTGAGTTGTCGTTTACGGGTTTTCATTTATACAATGAGTTACAGAACATTCGTTCTCATCAGTAATCACTGTAATTGAGGATGTATACTTTCATATAACTTAAAGGTAATACAAAGTTTTGGAAATTGTTGAAAATTGCCTGGATAGTGATTCTTTACAATTTTAATTTATGTGGATGCCCCTGTAGATGAAATTTTAGCCCCAAAACACTTGTGCTTTCGAGAGAAATATCAAATAGCGCCTATGGCCATACAATAATAGCTGCGACCATGAAAATCTCAGAATGTGTAGTCCTGAAATATAATTTCCAAACGGGAAAAGCAAATTGGTCGTTTTCAGTCAGGAAACATTGTTGTATATGTGTGTGTGTGTGTGTATTTGGTTTTTACAGACGTGTATCAATCAGATATGATTATTTACGT